TGGACATTGTCGGCCATACGATATCCCCGCGCCTCCTCCGATGCCCTAGTCCATCAGCTCACTGGTGTGCTCACAGGACAGATAACATGGTCCAAGCACATCTGTAGTAACACTGCCGACTCCGAACCTGCAGTGACCTCCCTGGTGCAGCGTATGCTTGCTGGGGCCAATTCCCCCTGTGGCTTGGCTAGAGGGTGAACTGCTTATGTACGTAGTCGGCAGTGACCTCCCTGATGCGGCGTATGCTTGCGAGGGGCCATTCCCCCAACGGTTTGGCTAGAGAATGGACCGCTTATGTATCCTATCAGCAGTGCCAGCTGCCCATGAACTGTGTTCACAACTTTCGCCGCACGATTTGTTGGTTGCTTGCCCATGTCCAATGTCAATTCTAAGCACACGCGGCGTCAGCCTTTCGTACATCCATGCATTGGGGCCTCGCTCTTCCCAACTGCTGCTGAGGAACCTGCAACTGTTGTTGTGGAAGCTGCGGTTCCGGTAAAAACTCGTGCCGCTATGGACAGCGCGGATGGTGTCAAAGTGGCTGCCGTGGACAATCACCGAAACCCCGTGGTGCATCAGTGGACAGCAATCTACAATTGCTACTGCCAACTGCAGTCGGCCACAACAGCGATCTATTCTCGCAAGTAAGTAACAAGAAAGAGAACTGAGTTATCGAACTGAGTGGGGCACTTTGGTACCTGGAAGCCCTCCTCCCGCCGATCTCCCCTTGCTTCACAGGGCTTTGTGCCCTTCGCTTCACCATGCGTCCCATCTACCTCCTCATATTCCTTCCCTTCCTCTCCTCTTTCTCTTCATCTCATCATCATTCTCATCAAATGTTCAAGGTCAGGTCGTCCATCACAGATATCCCTCTGGCACAGACTTTTGCTTTCTCTCCGCCACTGTCTGTAAGACGGCAACCTCGTTTCTGTGTGGACAGTATGACCATTGCACTTCTGGCGAGGGTGGNGTTTCTGTGTGGACAGTATGACCATTGCACTTCTGGCGAGGGTGGGGCACAGACTTTTGCTTTCTCTCCGCCACTGTCTGTAAGACGGCAACCTCATTTCTGTGTGGACAGTATGATCATTGCGCTTCTGGCGAGGGTGAGAGACCTGCTCCACTGGTTTGCCGGCAATCTGAAGGAACGATTTTGAGAATTTTCGACATTGTCAATACACGCGGGCGAGGAACTGTACCTATGGAATCCGATGCCGACGGTTGGGTGATAATTTCTATAGTGCTATTGGCCTGCTTTTGCATCAGACACACAATGCTCCCATCTGCACAGCGTTGGCATGGCTGGCAACCACCCTGGGATGCTTCCAAAATACAAAGTTGGACGAATCTGGAAACTTCAGGAAATCTACTTCAACACCACTTATTTTTATTTGTTTCTGGTTTCAACTTTCAAGTCTTATATTTTATTAGTGGCCATGATTGGAGCTACGGTAGTATGCAATGTGGTAAAAAAGAAGAAACTAGTTTTTCGAGAGTCTGTAGATCAATCCAAGAGTCAAACAAGGTTTTTCGAGAGTCTGTAGATCAATCCAAGAGTCAAACAAGAATGAATACCATGGCTTGCCAACAACATGCTATGTGACACCAATTTTCGCATGAAGCTCTCATGGACAGTACGTGGGTCTCTGGTGTGGGGGCTATCCCCGATGTCACCATCCACCACTTCCTCTTCGCTCCTGCCCCACATGCAATGCTGGGCGCCCTCCAGTTGCATATGTGATGGAAGTTTCCTCCATCCTGATCCCATGATGAACGGATACAACAACGTGACGTGGAAAACAGACTCCCAGGTGAACCACCTGCATTGCAGCAAACGGGGGAGCAATGGGGCAATGGGGGCAATAGGATGATAGGGGACTCGATTTTGTGATGAGGATGAGGATGAGGATGAGGATGAGGATGAGGATGATGATGATGATGATGATGATGATGATTGTGAAAGAAGAAGAAGAGGAAACCATAGAGGAAAGCAGAAGAAGAAAACGTAAAGAAGAAGAAGAAAACGTAAAGAAGAAGAAGAAGAAGAAAAGGGTTGTACACGGGTCCGAAGTCCCCTTGTATGCCGGGCCAATTTGAGGGTAACAGGACCTACACCACCCCAGTCCGAAGTGTGTCTTCATCGGGAACCACTGCAGCCTTGGGGGCGCAGCGCGTCCGGGGGCGCTGCGCCCCGCCGTCACGACCTCACCGACGAGAGATGGAGTAGCGGGCAGACGTTGAGCGGTAACGCACGGCGATGTGGGCGCCGCTGGGCATAGAGGGTGGCTATGACAGGTGCTCAACGATGCAGAGAGTCAGCGCTCTTACTGCTGCTGTAGGACGTACTCTCTATCTCCTAACACTTGAAAGCACTTGTAGTGCCATCTCACTGTCTGGTGCCTCTCACAGGGATGCTGCGGGTTAGCATGCCGTGTGAGGCGGGGTAAGGCTCTTTACTGGGTCTTGCATCGGGAGGAATCATGTGTGCTCTTCTTCTTGCACAATTTGGTGGAGGATGTCGGCCAGGAGCAAGAGGGAGAGGAGCGCTGTGTATCCCACGAGATGGGAGGAGGAGTGGAGGGGGATAAGGAGTGGAGTGTTTGAGACTGTTTTTTTTGTAACGGGAGTGAGGCTGAGGGTGAGCCGAGGGAGAGGAGAGAGAGAGGGAGAGAGTGAGAGCACACACACACACTCACTCACTCGACACGACGGACTCGGACTGAGGGTTGGACGCAGACACAGTGGCAAGGCACAAAGTCGAAGTCTTGGATTCCCAATGCCGAAACGGCAAGTCACACTGAGTACAAGTACAGCAGCAGAGAACTGGTACGAGACTGGTCCCCGTACCGTACGGGGAGCCGGT